ATAGTAATACACCTAATACACTGGAATCAACAGTTATAAGAGAAAGAAGATAGTAATACACCTAATACACTGGAATCAACAGTTATAAGAGAAAGAAGATAGTAATACACTTAATAAACTGGTATCAACAGTTATAAGAGAAAGAAGATAGTAATACACCTAATACACTGGAATCAACAGTTATAAGAGAAAGAAGATAGTAATACACCTAATACACTGGAATCAACAGTTATAAGAGAAAGAAGATTGTATGTCACTGGCATCAGCAGTTATAAGAGAAAGAAGATAGTAATACACCTAAAACACTGGTATCAACAGTTATAAGAGAAAGAAGATTGCATGTCACTGGTATCAACAGTTATAAGAGAAAGAAGATTGTAATACATTGGGCGCATTCTAAGATAGAGCTAAGAATCACAAAACAGGTAATGAACTAGGAAATAAATAGATATCTGTGGGAAGAATTTTTATGAGAAGGTTTGGACTGGATTGGTGAATAAAAGTTAAAAAAAAAATACTTAAAATAAGCTTAATTGATAATCAAAAGGTTTTTCACACAGCTCAGGATGAAAGTTAACTGCATTGATCAAATAGGTACTGATAAAACACATATAAGAATTCTTACTAACTTACCTTGAGAGCATCAGTCTCATTCGTCTAGGGGTGTGATTCTTGCTTTGGATGTGAGAGGCCCTGGGAGCCGTCATGGTGTACCATGCTGACATGCAGATCCGAAGGTCGTGGGTTGTCTTGACAGAGCTGAACTTTAAAAAATAAAATGACCTTGGCTACTAAGTCGACCCAACCTTAAATGGGTACCAGGTAAAAGTCGTGGGCAGTAAAAGGTGGCTGTTGTGACGTTGACCACATCACCCACATAGTGCCGTTTGATCGATAAAATATAGGTCCAACCCAATACACCTGAAGGGGTGAAAAAGAGCCCTTTGTGTACTTTTACTTATCTTAGGAACAAATTGTTACAGTCGTGAAAATTTTTCAATATGGAAATAAATAGAGGAGTAAGTCTGGTTTTACTCTACATAGATTTTTTAAAGTTGAAAATGTTGTGGACAGAAGAAAAATACTGAGGTATTGACTGTGGCAATGAGGTAACTAGATCATAGGCACAACAAAATTAAAGCTTATCCTCAAAAGTTGTGCCCTTAGGTCTCTGGAATGTCTTTCACTAGAGAAGCAGACAGAAAGATGAAAGGGTAGACAGTTGGGCAATAAAACACTGAAATAAGTATGCATTCCCCACTGGATTGCTGGTTTTTGAAAGGTTTATTATGAGGTAATGTGTGTCAGTCAGTAAAGGACCCTTTACCATAGAGTGAGGCGGATTGTGCTAGTCCCATATTTGTAATAAACTAATTAACGCCTGATGAAGCCCAGAGTCATTGTTATAAGACGTCCACTTGAAAAAAAAAAATCCTCTCCACTTTCTCTCTATCACTATGCACACACATTAAGCAAACCCACAGACGACTTCTCCAAATGTTTGCATATCCTTTTGGATGAACTAGCTAGAGGCCTACAATCTTTGATCCCACTTGAAAACATCTGCTGACCTATCGTCCAAATGTTCTAATGGAAACAGAATAGTGCAGGTTCACTTGTTCGGTGCCAAGCTTTTACAGTCAATTTTCTGGTATGGTCTTGGTATGAAACTGGCCACCCCATCTTGTGTGGGTTGGGAAAGTTATGAGTTTTGCACTTCACACTATAAGGCAGTAACACCTGTACCAATCAGTTAAGTCAGATGCTGTCTCCACAGTGAAGGTTGGCTGCAATGGATCTCCAGCATGTTCTATCTTTTGTCTTGGTTTTACAATCTCTCAGACCAGACCTCTGTTCATCCATCTCTTGATATTGTCCTCCCTCTTATATCATTGTCTACCCCTTGCTGTCTTGATATCAACCTTTCCATCCTGAGGGTTTTGAAAAAGTCTTTAAAGTTTAGTTGAATCAAGAATTGACATCACAGTGCTCAGGGCATTCCCATATGCGCTCCCTCCCCATCCTTAGCAGCCAGCGCAGAGTTCCAATACCAGTGGTGCCAGTTGTAGTCTGGTTGTATGTCCGTCTTGCCTTTCCTCTGAGCCTAGTGTGCCGGTTGAACCCTCTGGTCACAGCCAGGTGCATCATTCTCTTCAGCCCATAATTATCTAGTTTCTGTTCTGACTTTGTTACTTGTTCCCAAAGGACTCTGACCACATCTTCCTTTTCATGTATCAGGTCACCACCCAGCAGTACAGATCCAGCCACTTTGTCTGCCTGTTCATTCCCCACCACGCCAGCATAGCCTGGGAAAAAATTTTCCAAAGTATGCTCACTACCCATGAACTTCCAAGTGAAGCTTGCCACTCTGCTCGAAGCAATCCTGTCTTCACCTTTTTCAGCATGCTTTCAGAGTCTGTTACAATTACAGCATGTGTATACATCTTGTTCTTTAGCCATCGGAAAGCTGCAGTGACCGCTTTCACCTCCAGTCTCATGCTAGATGTTGTGGTATCATATGCCAGGCTGACCTGCACTAAAGATTTTCCATTGGCTTTCGCCATGAAATCCCAGGCACTTCTCTTCCCCCTCAATACAGAACCATCTATATCTATAATTAGATCATCAGGACGATAATTGTCATGAATCAACTATTGGACTTTTTGGAAATTGTTATAAAGCAGGAAGTGGCTGGTCACTCAGTAGAGTATGCCTGCTAGGGAAGAGTCACTAGATGTCCCTATGGAGTCCACACCCCTGGTGCCTCATCTCCCTCTGAACAGACGTCCACGTTCATTACCGACTATCTCACAGCCTTTCAGCTTCTCAGCATGTAGAAGAGTCTTTTAATGTAGCCAGAGTATTTCAGTTGCATTTAAAAAAAAAAAATTTCTCTCTAGTTTTCTTGTCATTCCCAGTTTTTACAAACCCTGTATATTTGATTGTTTTGTTGTTGTTGTGTTTCCATGAAATACAACCTATTGTTTTATGTATCCACATTCCCAGATATGTTTCTATTTTCTAGTTGCCTTTTCATTGTCCAAGTTTTTGCACCACACTACAGAGTTGAGTATACATAACATTTGAAGATTCTCATCTTTAATATATTGTTTATCTCAAGCTGTCAATAATTTTCACATCTTATTGAAGATAGTTTTAGCCGTTCCCATTCTCATTTTTTTTTCTAATTGATGTTTCACTTCTGCCATCGTCTGTTACTACGTATCCAGGATAAGAGAAACTTATGATGTTCTTATCTCACTCCATTTACTGTGATTTTAACTGTTGGCTGCTCCTTCATTGTTAATTATAGTTGATTTTAAAATGTTATAATGTTAAATATGTTATATTCAGCTTAGTTTATTCAGAGGGACAATTTTGAAAATGGGAACCGTCACGGACTAGAGGTCTGAGCCCTAACATAGATAGATTATTAAGACAATACAACTGGTAATCTCCAATTTAATGATCCTTTCTAGGATTCTATTTCCATGGTGGACATTTTATATTTAAAAAAAAAAACCTGACTCTTGGTTTTATGATAAGTACAGTGTCAGTGTGGAAAGGATTGGGGCCTCACCATGTAATATTCCCAAACACAGTAGTGGTCACACTGTTAGCCAACCTTTATTGTGGAGAAGACACAACATTTACAGAATTGTGTTTCTGGGTGTGTGAGCCCCAGTAAAAGGAATAAACACCTCACCTAATACAACCACCTTGGGTTTATTTCATGGTAACTGAACAGTCCACGATTCTCCTAAACGTGTAATGGGGCAGTTATTGAGCTATGATATTCTGTGACCATCACATTTTAATTATGTTTAAAAAATAAAACTGTTTTAGAACATTTCTTTGGTTGTGTGTGCGTATATATATGCACGCATGTGTGTGATATATATTTGTGTGTATATATATATATATATATGTTAGAGTTTGTGAGAAAGGAAAGTCGAGGGGGCGATGTATATATTTGCCATCCATGTTTTCAACTTTGTAGTCACACTGTGTTTATTGCTATATGACATAGCCATATTTACACATGTATGAACTGCACCTCGTTTCTGGGATGATAATTTTAGGAAAAAAATAAATGTTCTTAAAATATCATAGACTAAAACCGAATTAGTAATAGCTATAAAGATTGAAAGATTAGCAGTGTACGAGCAAGTTACATTTGTAAATTTCAGTTGCAAAAAGTCCGTTAATGCAAAAAAAAAAAAAAAATAAAAACCCAGCAGCTGGGAGGAAGTTTGATGTGGATAGGAAACAATATGTGAAGATGGATTTTGAAATATGCTCTTAAAGAAACATTTTAAAGTCAACAATAATTTCTTGACAAAAAAAAATGAAATATCTGGAAAAGAAACCAAGCTGCTGGAATATGTCGATAAAATATGGGCAGGTGGGTTTTCTGTGTCTGTGGAAATGTTAACAGTTTGAAGAGCATCAAATATGAGACATCAGGGTAATTTCTCTGTGTGAATTTAAAGCTAGTTATGGCTGGGTAAGGAATTTTGGGCAGTAATGTAAATAAAGATGGGGGAACTGATAGAGATATGAAATTATGAATGCAATAGGGAAAAGGAGCTTTCATGGCACTAGGGAAGTTGTGGAGGTCAAGAGAAATTGAAACTAATACCAAACTTAAAATTTTTAATTCTATTGCTAAATCAGTATTGTTGTATGGGGCGGAAACACAGAGAACAACTAACACAGTTATTAATAAACTACAGCCAATGATTAGCTTGTGCCTATGCAGAATAGAGGGAATTAAATGGTATAATAGAATCAATAATGTAGAGCTTTGGGAGAGAACTAAATAAGTCCCAGTGGACAAAGAAGTGTCATATTATGTAATTTCATCTGCTTTGCACAGGTACCACTTAATGAATGTTTGTAGTTTATTAGTCATTGTTTTAGTTGTGCCCCATGTTTCTGCTTCAAGTTGAAGGTTTCATCTACTTTAGGTTCAAAGACTTTCAAGCCGAAGCAACACAATGGCAGTAGTCCCCATATTGTTGTTGTTAGTGCAGGGCCTTGACTTGTTGAGTGCAGAGCTGTTTACCTCCAATGCCCATCTGCAGACTGCCTTGTATGCTGAGAGGGACATAGCAGGTTTATTGCTCAACTATGTGGAGCAAGAGGAAGCCAGGCTGGCCAGGATCAGACGGTGAGTACAGCATGTTTATGTCCAGTCATGTGGGAACAGTTAGCGTCTACACCTTAAGACATTTGCTGCGGGAGATGGAGCACCTGTGGGTTTACCCGGTGTGCTCTGATGTCGATTGTTAAATCATTACATAACTAATCATGTTGGAACGGGTTGAGCTAACAATTGACAACATAGAGATCGGGACATTATCATAAGTGCTCTCTCCTGATCTTCAGCAGTCATCAAAGAGATTCACTTGAGATAATGCCAGTAGCAGGTTGATTATATGTCCGTCTTGCCTTTCCTCAGAGTGTAGAGTGTTGACCAGACCTCTTGGTCACCCCTAGTCAGGTTGGAACGTTTGATGCCTTAGGTAAATGATGCTAGAATCTTATTTTGATAGAGCACTTAGTGTGTGATGATGTTGGCGGCCTTTACTTCCAGTGACATTACCTGTTACCCATTTTAGACTGGGTCAGTGTGGGAACTAAGGTCAGTTTTAAAAGAAAATTAAACTAGTTGCAGATTCGAGCCTAAGGCCCGCATGCAAGCCTCTAGCCACTATGCTACTATGGCTCTCCACTTTTTTTATATAGTTACATGCAGTTTGCTACTGTTATTAGTTTTGTTCCCCCAGACACTTGTTATTTATCCTGGTTGTCTATGGTACTTGTAACATTCTTCTAAAAAACCACATCTTTACTACCTTCAAGTTCTCATTAATTTGATTGTTCAAGATTCACATCCTTACAGCAGAACAGATTTGACATAGCATTTCAGTACTCTCCTATATTCAATGAAAGTGATTTATTATAAATGCACATTTTATTCTGAAATGTTCTTAGCCTGGCCTATTCTCTCTTTACCCTGTGTCGTGCATCTTCTTTCTGTTGTCATGATACCCACACTACAGAGGTTAATATTTTGACTTGGTTGGTTATGAGACCTGTGTGAGTACAGAATGTGTTATACTCAGTGCTGAGAAGGTGCAGTGATAGTGGGAGTTACACACAATACAATACCGTATAGCCACCGTGGTGTGTCGGCTAGCTGCTCGCTTGTGGATCAGATGGTTGTGAATTCAGGCCCTGACAGAACCACTTTTTTTAAAAATTACCTTGGCTCTCAGGTCGGCCTAGCCTGAGTGGGTACCAGGTAAAAACCTGGGAAGTAAAAATAGCCGGCGGGATGGTGACCACATCACCCACCCAGTGCGTATTGGTTTATAAAATATAGATCTAGATATATATGCCCAATACGCCTGAAGATGTGGACACGTGGTTCCTTTACTTTTTCCCCCTACAATACCATATACAGTAAAACCTTATTAACTGAAACTCGTTTAAGAACAGTCAGTTAACATAAACACAATTTTAATACCTGCAGGGTTGTACTAATTTTTTTAAACACAAACTCTTAATTTTTGTTTTGTTTTGTGGCATTCGTGTTAGTGAGGTTTGACTCTAACATTTCCCCATTATCTTTCATAGGATCAGTGTGTTTTTGTTCAGTAATAATTATCTGTGCATGATATACTCCCATTTCATCGTGTTTCTCTTGTGAGGGGAATGCACCACACAAAAAAAGAATATCTTTAAGGAAGTTTTACTTATTTTAGACCAGTGGTTTTCAACCATTTTCAGGTGGTGCCTCCTTGAATATATGGCAAGACGACCTCTAACCCCCCCCCCCCCCCCCAACTTTAAACAAAATTATTAAAAAGAGGACAAAAAGAAAAATTCCTTGCGCTGTTAACAAGAACTTTAAAGAAAAACATCCACATAAATCAAAGTATCAGGTAACATAAAGTCCTTGTAGCGGATGAAAATCGGAACAGATGTGTAGTATTTTGCTGAGACATGACAATGACAAGATCATCCAGAGGCTGTTCTATATGGAAAACTTCCAATTTCAGAGCAAAATCTCCTGCACATGATGCTATGATTCATACACCTCCGATCAAAAACCGTTTGGCAAACTTCGTGGATTCTGCTATCACTGTCTTCTACAATACCACTATTTCTGCTCAGCTCTATACTCACGACGCATAAGGCAGTGCAGGCGTTTGCAGCTTCAAAAAATGTTCTGCCGCTTCTGCAGATAGGTTCAGGGCTGAGTGTCTGAGAAGATGCACGTTATATGCAATGTTCTGCCGCTTCTGCAGATAGGTTCAGGGCTGAGTGTCTGAGAAGATGCGCGTTATTTGCATGCGATTGCATCAATGGTCCTGACTGCCTGTGCTCTGATTGTGGACGTCTTTTCTTAAAGGGCCTTGCTGGTCACACTTGCCATCGCTACAGACTGTGATTCACATGCCTGAGTGAATCGCGTGTCACATGCCTGCATATAGCACAGTAAAAAAAAAAAAACCGCATAGCCACTGAAAAGGAACATACAAACTCACAGCTTTGACATTCTGCATTATTGTAATGCAGTAAGTGAAATTACTCAAATTTCACAGAAGAATACCTTAGGGTTCCACCAATCAATTGACACGTGTTTTTTTTTTTTTTTTGCATATGGGTTATAATTTGTAGGCGTGCGAAATTTCCCGTTAGTATGGTGTGTGGCCTCTTGCTTGGATCAGTGACTTTCATCTCCTGGGCATGGATGCGATTAGACGTGGCATGACTGTCCACTCTTCCTAGAGTGCCTGGACAGATCACGACCATTGGCTGGACAACGTCTCGGCGACAAACACGTCTTTGCAGCTCATCCTACAGGTGCTCAATTAAACTCATGACTGCAGACAGGGATGGCCAGGAAAGGGTTTGAATGTTACTGGCAGCCAGGAACCTTCATTTCGCCTACAACAGACCCTACGCCATCTATCATAACTCTGCAACATAAAGAAAGATTCGTCACTGACCCAGGCACGTCTCAATTGACTGCCACCTGCCCAGGGACGATGTTGGTTGGAGCAAAGAAGTCGATTTTGGCGGTGGCGTTGTGTAAGGACAGGTCCTCGGTGTGGTCGTCGTGCCCGAAGGCCAGTGTTATGCAGTCTGTTGCGAAAAGTTTGATTAGACACATGCAGTCCTGGAGGCAAAGCCTGTGCAGTTAAGGAAGTTGTTGTAAACTTGTCTCTGGGGTGACGAATCTGTTGTCACTCTGGGTCGCCCACTGCGATGTCGGTCTTCAGCTCAACAGGTGGCTTGGAACCGGTACCAAAATTGATTGATGGTACTCTGATGCCCGTTTAGATACCTGGCAACCTGACTTGACACTTTATAGTGGTTTCAAATTGCGTAGGCAAGGAATACACCAAATTTTTGGTTGCTTTCTCCCATGCCCTCAACACGGTGTATTTTCGAATCCATCAGATTACCTACTCCCAGTAAAATCCATCTACTTCCCATTAAAATCATCTTTTCCTGATAGACGTATGCTCCCTCTATACGTCTATCCCTCACTCTGATGGTCTTAGAGCACTCCAGTTCTTTTTGGACAGAAGGTTCAACCCGATCATCCCTACTTCAGTTCTTGTACGCCTTGCCGAACTGGTACTGATGACCCTTAACTCGTTTGAGTTCAATGGTGAGTATTTTGACCAGATCAGTGGGGTCGCGATGGGCACCAAGATGGGTCCTAGTTACGCGTGCCTCTTTATGGGCCACCTGGAATACGAGAGGTCAGTTTATCATACCCGGGCAAGTTTCCGGAGGTGTATAGGGAGATACATAGATGATGGCGCTGGTATCACCGAAATGTCCATGGTTGAGCTTGACCAATTTATTACTTACATCAACAATTTCAATCCGGCTATCAAATTCACCTCACTGGATCTCCACCAACTTCAGTTAACTTTCTTGACATCACGATTAGCATCGATTTTCCGTGTCTGAAAACCACAGCCTACTACAAACCCACGGATTCTCACACGTTATCTCCTCTATACGTCTTCTCACCCCACTACCGTGTAAAAAATTCTATTCCATATTCACAGCTCCTTCGATTGCGCAGGTTGTGCTCTGATGATTCTGACTTCTTTGATAAATCAGTTGAACTTCTTGAAATTCTTCCGTGGCCCGTTTCTATCCGGAACACATTCTACAAGGGGCTCTAAACAAAGTTTTAGCAATCACCAGGAGAGATGCTTTTCCTACCAAACGTAACTCCACCAATGATGGTCCTAAATTGATCTTGACTTTTCACCCTAACAATGTGGTTGCTTCCAAAGTATTCTTTCATCATTTGGACATCCTCCGCTCTGATCCGGACACCAAGATTATCTTTAGTGAGAAACCTAGATTAGTTTACAGACGAGATCGCAACCGAAGCCGACTCCCACCGATCCACACAGCACTTCCTTTTGGGACTACTCAGTGCTCACGTAGCACCTGCAAGACATGTCCTTTCGTTGTTCAGTTTCCCTAATGGTTTTTTTTTAAATTAGGGAACCTTTTACTTGCGAATCCCGCAACGTAATTTATGCAATTATCTGCAAACGATGCAGCAAGGCATACATTGGGGAGACTGGCAGGAAGCTAGCTGATCGTTTCCGGGAACACCTCTCCGATATCGACAAGAAGACACTCAAACTAATCCCTCTTCATTTTAATAGCCCTGACCACAGCGGTAAAGATGACATATCTGTCACAGCATTAAAATCTTGCTCTGGCGATCATACTACCCGCCTCGCTTTGGAAAATCGCCTTATCTACAGTCTTGGCGTTCTTAGTCCAAGAGGTATCAATATCCAACATACCTTCATCTAAATAGTTCTAATCTTATCACATTTTAAATGTTAATTATTTTATTTTATTTCATATTATTACCTTATTCTATTTCTTATCAGTATCATTTATGTATCATTAACACTTGCATTTCTTTTATTCCCAGTATTGTGACTATATTTTTTAGCCATCGTTTATTTAATTTTATTTCATTTATTCCGCATCACATTTTTTTTAAACGTCGCTCACGTCACCCCTTAGAGATCCACATACTCTCCATTCCTCGTTTGTGTCTTTCACTTGTGTTTGAAAAAGGCTGCCCGGCCGAAACGTTACGTTGTG